TCTGGCCCTAGGTGTCATGCCCTGGGGAATACCCTCCTTTTGTTTATTCAGGATAGACTTGAGGGTTTGATGAGCAGGCTCAACTATGCCTTGGCCCTGAGGATTATAGGGAATTCCATGTCTGAGGGTTGGATATGTCCTAACTTTCCTCTGTCTCCTCTAATACCAGACAATGATGGATAGTCCCCATGACGGCTGGGTAAAACTAGCATCTGAGCGATGCGGTCTCCTGCCCCTAAGGCTGCCCCTAAGGGAGATGTTCTCTTCCGGGTCCCCAAAATGGGCAGTCTCTTTTTATATGTCCCTGTCTGCTGCATTTAAAGCAGCCTTCTTTCAGGCGGGTGCCATTCTGTGGCGCCGCTCTGCCTTCCTGACCTTCTTTAGTTAGCTTCATTAACATGGCTGCCAAACCTGAGTTCGTTAATGGCCCCCCGATCTCCCGACTGAGTTTTATCCATGCCTCGAGGGGCCTATTTTTGTATGGACTAATGGCAGAGCGACATTCTTTAGTACATTGCTCAAAAATGAGCTGCTTAATGAGCGGTATGGCTGTCTCAGCGTCCCCAAAAATTCTCCCTGCCGCCTCCATCATGCGGGCCACAAAATCTGAAAAAGGCTCACTCGGGCCCTGCAAAATTTTTGTCAAGTGGCCTGAGACTTCTCCCCTAGCCAAGACCCGTTTCCATGCTTGTATGGCTATTCTATTTATCTGTGCATACACCTCTTGTGGGAATATCAGCTGGTTATTGAGATACTGCCCTTGTCCTAATAACATATCCACGTCCCAGGCGGCCTGATTGTTCTGGGCATTAGCTTGGGCCTGTTCTGTGGCAAGTTCAACATTCCAAGCTTTCCAATCAAGATATTGGCCTGGGCTGAGCACCGCCTTGCACAAACTGGCCCAATCAGCAGGTGTCATGGCGTTTCCTGCCAGGGCTTCTACTAGGGACAGGGTATACGCCCCGTTAACACCGTACATGGTGCTGGCCTCCTTAAGGTGCTTTATCGCTTTTATATGTACAGGCAGGTGGGCTCTGTTTCCCTGAGCATCTACAGCAACCAGAAAAGCCTGGAGAAAACGGCCCAGGCCTCCTGGGTCCTCTCTTTTGACTTGATGCCATAGGTCTTCCTGGAATGTCCCAGAGGACGCCTGGACCCGTTGCGGGCAGCTACATAGCTGATGGCAGGGTCTCGGGTAAACATGATAATCTGGTGGGTCGGGAGGTAGAGCCGTAGGTCTTATACGGGGCGGCCCTGGGATCCCATACTCGCTTTCATTGGCCCATTTACTCTGAGAAATCATGTATTGCAACTCATTTATGGCCTCAGAGTACGGCCCTCTCGACTGCGTGTGTGTGACTTCCCCTCTTTCGGTGGTGTCTACATCCATTATTTTGTGTACTTCTTCTTCCTCCCCCTCATTATCTGACAAGTCCTCTGTTTCTGGGCTGGATACAGTCACCTCACCTGCAACACTGGGTTCGCGAGATTGCTTGCGGGAGGATTCTGCCTGATGGTGACCAAGCGCCGTGGCGCCAGCCCTTATATGGTCACGACAAGAGGCGTCTGCGAGGCAGCTCCTCACTACCGCCCAAAGGGGTCTGACTCCTGGCTCCAGGAGGCCATTTTCTGCTGCAAAGTCAAGATCTCTCCCTAATTTATCCCAGCTGGGGATGGTAATGGACCCCGTGGGACCAAACCAAGGTGCTACCTTATCTACCTGATCGAGGAAGTTTTGAATTTGTTTTTGTTTCATTTTTAATCCCTTTTCCCTCAGCAAGTCGCCCAAAGCGACTGACAGCGGCTGAGTAGCGGTGTTACCCATGTTAATCGGAATTTCAAGAGTTTCTTTTTATTTTTATTTTTGTTTCCTTTTTCCTTTTTTTTTTTTTTTTTTTTTTTTTAATAACAGGGACAGCTTAGTCCCCGTGCCCCTTTACGGCGCCCCTAAAACCGGCCTCTTTACGGCCCCCGGAACTCTCTTTACGAATTCCTCAATCCTTGCGACGCATCGACCCAAGGTTGCCCGATAGCCCCCGCTATCCGGCCCAGCAGCACTCGCTGCCTGTTGAACAGTTTAACCTGTCAGCCCCCTGCCCGCCGAGTAGCCCCTGCCATCGGCGCTTGACGGTTTTACCTGTAGTGGAGAAAGAGGTTGGTTCCCTGTACTGTCAGTGAGAGGGTCTACTGTCGGAGAGAGGGTCTCGTTCCCCGTACGGGCCACCAGTTGACTGGCGCAGCTCCCCAATGAGACAGGAAACACTTCAGGTGGGTAACAGGAACTGCCAACTTTATTGTTGTGGGTTCTGGCTTATATATCTGACTGTAGCCAATCAGGCTGCCACGAGGGCTACCACAAGGAGGAAGGGCTGGAATGAGACACGGGCTCTGGCTAATATACTCAGCTGTGGTGAATACGAAGTGAGTACAGGGTGACTTAATTTGGAGAGGGACGTAGCACATTGCGGAAGCTGGCGTGGTCCTTAGTCCCGGGTGGGGTATGGTATGTTGAGCACCTGCGCCCAACAAGTTTCAAAAACACAGTTGGTACCAGTATTAGACCTAACATCAGTTTGTGATATAACTTGTTTATATTCTCATTTTTCTTGAGTGATTTGTATTTTCTCCACAGATAAAACAACCATAATAACGTGTACTGAGTGCTTATTCTCTGCCAGGCATGGTACTCAGCATTTTTTTTATTTAGGCCTTTCAAAATTCATTCGTACATTTTGCTAAGCTTTAAAATCATCTCTCAAACCACATGATTCCTCTCAAGTTTCCCCCTGAGGTTGGTACTATTACCACCTTAATTTTACTGATGAGAAAACGGTAGGACAGGGTTTGAGCTTGTCTTCTTCAGAATAGAGAACACAGCTCTTCACAATCATGTCATCCCAAGAAGCACATGGCTCTGTCTTCACTGTTGCTTTAACTCTTCTCTGAAGCTGGTGGTCAGTGCTCTAACAGAATGACTGCATCCTTGGATGCTGTCCACGAAGCCAAGGATGAATTTTTTCATGCATAATGTTTTTAGTGTGAACATCTCAGCTCTGTGCACATGGCCCAGAATCTCACCCTTCTCCAACTCAGAGACTCATCCTTGGCTGTTCTTGTTATCCACTCAAGTACACCAGCACCCCGCTGTGTCATGCTTCTTTGATTTGGGCCTGGACTCTAATCTTTGTTCTGTAGTCATGCTTTATTTTAACAATTTCTTCCATTGGAAACAACTACCAGACTCTTCAAGTAACACTCTGCCCTCAGTCCTTGCTCCAGCGTATGCACTCGGTATTTTAGTCCCAGCAGTGTCCTGCACTGTTGCAGTGACTTTGGTGCATACTCTCTCTCTGTTAAATTCACTGACAGAAAAGCCCATCTTCTTCCCATTTTGTATTCCCAGCCCCTTGCACAGTGTCTGACACTTGATAAGGATCTGAATGAATATAAATTGAACAACGAACAAATATTCAGAAAGAGTGCCATGTTTCCAATAAAAGGAAAGTGTGGATATTTTTTAAAGTGATAGGATTGATTTGAAAAACAACTTAGGGCAAACACTTAAAAATTCATTTTGAATTTTGCTAAGCTTTAAAACCATCCCCCAAACCATAGTGATGCAATTACTTTCATAAATGTCTAATACATGCTGGCTGCTGTCTCCTGACTCGAGGTAATTCCCTCACCAAATTGAGAATTATCCTTAAGCCCCTGAGTTTACCCCTCATTCCTCTCACTCTGAAAAGCACACATAATTCAAGATTCAAGAAAGCAGTCCTTCCCTCCTATCTTTTCCTACCATTGCATTAATGAGCACTGGAACTGCCTCAGCCTTAGAATTAAGTGCTTCTAGTATCTCTTGTCAGCATTTTTGAGAAGTCTTTGGAAGTAATTCACATTACAATTATAAATATAGTTTTTCTATTCAGAAAAAAATGAATCCTGTAAAAATTTATTTCTTCCAAATGCTAAAATATCAACATTCGGAAATTAAACATCCACAGCTCTCTTTACGTTTTAGTATTGATTTAAATTCTGAAGATGGTACCATTTCACTGACTTCCAAAATTTTCATCCCCTGAGATTTAGAGGCACAGATTTTGTATGAATATTGGCTGGTTCAGAGGTCTCACTTGTGTTCAAGGAATGCAAAAGGAAGGGACCTGATCTTTAGCGACTCCATTTAGTATTGTGCCAAACCAAACAGCCCTTATAAGGGCCATACCTTTTGCCTCCTCTATTGGTTATTGTAAACAGACACCAAAATCAAAGCCAAAACCAAACGTACCCAAGACAGCAACAAACATATTGTGAAATAAAAGCTATGATTTTGCATTGTAGCAGTAATCCCTGGAGAAACTGAATGGCACCAGCCTTAACAGAAAACTATATCCTCTTTACTTTTAATAAAGACTGAAGTTTTTGAATATTAAACATTTTTATGGCTATAGTAACAAAAAAACCTCTGAGCAAAAATTTCCATTTGCATTGTCTCCATGTGTGAAGATATTTTCTTTTGTTCTACATAGTGTTTTTCAAACAAGGACTTTGATGATGGGGTTTATGGATTTCTCCAAGGGATTCATATGTGAAGTTTTGGCTACATTTTCAGTAGTATTAGCAGTACCTGTGAATTTGTCAATAGAAATCACAGATTTCCACATTATATCTAATTTTTCCTGAGGTGGTGAAACATTATTTATGCTCTTATCTATTTAGGAATTATAATAGACCTACCATTGTATATTTTTTCTTGCTGGAATAATAAACACATAACCTTGCATTACAAATGTTCCATTAAATATTTTAATAATTATACTTGTAATATTATTGTTTCCCTTACAATGTTATGAATGTAACATTACACATTTAAAAATATTATTCTACAAATAGGAAAATAGACTCTCAAAGTCTCCTTAGCCCAAGAGTTAGGACTTTAATGCGTGATTTATTGGCAGTGTCCCTTTGTGATTCTTCTCATTCTTCAGTCTCTCCATCTGATCTCTTCATTTGTGTTTTATTTTTCCTATCTTTTGCTTCTTTCCTCCTGCTGTATTTTTCCCCTCTCTCCTTCTTCCTTTATCCCTTTGTTGGTTACTTCTCTCTCTTTGCTGTGACAAAATATGCAACACTCAAAGTTAAAGGAGGAAAAGTTTATTTAGCTCACAGTTAGTGCAGGTTTCAGTATGTAATTAGTGGACCCCAAGTCAGGGTGGGAGGGTGAAGGGCATCAACTCAAGGTAGCAAAAGTCATAAAAACAAGAACAAAAGACAGGTAGAACAATCATCTTTACCTCCCTTATAATGTATGCAGACTGCCTGCCCTCAGGTGGGTGTAGCACTCATACCGTCTCCAGGTCCTCCTCATGCTCTGGATCAGAATATTTACATAGTGAGGAGGGATCCTGGTCTGCTGCTGAGATACTTACACTTCTACACTTTTCAAATTGACCCAATGAGTCAACCATGACAACATCCTGGAGTGTAAACAACCACCCTAGGGCATGTCCTATACACCCTAGTATATAGAACTACTGAGTTACTTAGTTAAACTTCTAAACTTGAGTTGACATAATATATGAGCCATTACACTCCCCTTCCTTGCTAATGCTAACTAAGGAAATTACCTACTGGCTTCTTTTTACTCTGATAAATAGTGAAGTAAAGTCTTGTCTCCCTTTTTCCTTATCTGACCCTCTGAAGCTTCTCCTCTGAGATAAGGTGCCATATTTATTCACTTTAGTATAAAACAGCTGGGAAGAAAGAGAAAGCCAGGCCAAGTGCCATCTTTGTGACAAAACCCAACTATGCTTCCTCCTCTGAGATTTCCTTAAATGTTCTGTAACATGATTCAAGCCTCATTTTCAACAGGATTTCCTCCTTAAGAAGGATCGAAAATCCTTGCATTTCTCACCTCTATTTTGGCCCAGGTGCTACTAGTGCAGGAAGGAGATGTGAGAGAACTTCACTTGCTTCTCTATCTCTTTCCTTTGAATTGGATTCCAAAGAAACCTCTTAGTTTCATTCATGCCAAGAGTCTGTGTTTTGCAGATAACAAATACTTCTATGCTAGGGATTTCTCATGTTTTGTCTACTTTTTTCTTTTATCCAAGAGAATTTAAAATATTATTCTGTCCCAGTGACTTTACAAATAGTCTTCTCATAAAAGACTTTAATGAAGGGCATATAATTCTGTCTCCACGGATCTTAATATTAAGTGGGTCATTAGATGTTCCCAAACAATTCCATAATACAGATTCATATATAAATTCTATTTTTAATTTGTTTGCTTAATGCTATTGACTTCATTTTTATGCTTATTTATATTCAACAAATAAGGGCTCAGGCTATTTTGTGAACTCTGGTCTTTGAAGAGCTAAACTTACAAATGGAAATAGGAGTCTGACTTCCCTTCAGGACACAAATTATGGAGAGGAGGGAAGGATGAAGGATAGCATCTAAGAGTCACACTGAGATTCAGACAGGGAGACTCATTCTTAAACTGAGTGCGTGGATAGGAAAATAGGCTGAAAGATGAAACTTGAGAGACCAAGATGAAGCACAGAAATCTTGAAACATTGAGGCTATTTTCATAGACAATGAGTTCATACAAGACTGAGAAGAAAGAATTGACATTTGGAAATTTTTCCTGTTCTAGATTTGTGTTCTAATCAATAATTACAATATAATGTGTTATTTTTTTTACTGATTTAGGTGGTAGTCTCAGGATGATTATAGGACACTGGAGTTTTCTTTCAGAGTCAAGGAAGACACTTGTGTTGTTGTAAGGGAACATGGCTGGAGGTAAAGACACAAAGGAGAAGGGAGGCCAGATTATGTAGGATATTATGAATTTTATAGTAAGGACTTTGGATTTCTCCTGAGGATGCTGGGAATTACTTGGGGTTTTTAGGTTAAAGAATAATGTAATAAAGCTGATATTTTTTGACAAACTCATCTAGCTGCTGATTGAGGATTATAGGAGCATAAGAATCAGAATATGGAGACAATTTGGTATCTATTGCAACAGTTCAAGTATTGGATGGTGTGACTTGAACTATATCAGAATGGGGAGAAGTCTTAGCAATAAGACTTGCTGATGAATTAGATGTGGTGTATGATTAAAAAAGTATTACACATGACACCAGGAATTTAGATCTGAAAAAATGTTAAAATTGAACTACTAATAATTCCTATAGGGAAACTCCAGAATAAACAGATTTTGGGAAAACACCACACGAACATTTTTCTAATGATGGAAATTATATTTCGTTTCACAATCTAGATGTAGTGGTATCTCCAGAATTACTATACCTACGAATATTTAGAGACAATGCTCTTCCAGTTTAGGCATAAATGAAGCTAAGAAATTATTTTACATGAAATTAAGATAATTCAGTTCGAGGGAACATAGTTAATCAAGCCATTTGTTGATAACAGTATTGCCCACAGGGAAATTTGAAGCTCTAACAGTGGATCTTCTGATCTCCCTAAAAATAATACTTCCACTGACATCAGCTTTTCAAGATTTTAATGGTAACTGGGGCAACCTGCTCGGGTCCCCTACTGTCTCTCTTCAAACAATAGTTTTCTTTCTCTCAAGAAGTATATTCTACTCTTAACCTCCATTGTTCCTAAAATTCATTCATCAATTTTAGAGAACATGAGCTCTAGGACACACGAGGTTGAGAGTTTCATTCCTGTATATTATTTGGAGGTCTTCCACCAAGATCACTGAGTGGAGGTGAGAGTTTGCTTTTGCTACATAGACTCTGGACTGGGACTCATTTAGATGGCAGATAGATAAGAGCAGATTACAGAGGATCCCTGAGACAGACAACTCAGATGCTGAAATAATACATCATGGGATATCCTGGACAGAGGGAGATGGATTCTCTTGACCCAGGAAGAAACTAATGTGAAAAGAACCAGTCAAACATGCAGTCCCAGGGAGAGCCCTGGGAGAGCCCTGGGACTGCATGTTTGACTGGTTCTTTTCACATTAGTTGGGGCAGCTAAGATTATTGGGGAAGCTAAGATTCTGTGCTCTCACATACCTAAATTCCCGCTGCTTCAACTCACTGGAACTGCAGTCGTACTGAAGTGCAGTCACACTGAAGTCACACTGAAGTCATACTGAAGTTGGAGGTCTGTGAGCCCAACTGAGAATGGAGCCAGCAAGGGGCCTGCATTGAGCTGCGGTGAGTGCCAGGAATAAAACCCTTCCACAGGAAAGGGGCAGCAATGGGATGACACTTTGGAATCAGGCAGGACTGGCAAGAACAAGGAACAGCAGTGACTTCAGTCAGTTGTTCCCTTTCCAGATGAGATTGGTGGGGCATGCTTGGCCTGGATAACCCCTGGCTGAGACCCAAAAGTTGTCCCAAACCAACTCCCTACATGCAGTGCACACTAATGCAGTGAAGGCCTCAGCAGGTTGACTGAGCCATAGGGGAGGGGCCAGCACACACCACAGTGTGTTCAATAACACACTGGAGTGGGCAGGATCACCTAGCCAGTGTGCTTTAGAAAACCATAACCAACAAAGAAAGGGACTGAGACCTCTCCTATATGCCTGTATAGAAGAAACAAAAAATATAACAAGTGGAAGCAACAAGAAAAAGCCCCCAGCCTCCAATCCTAAAAATATTGATCCAGGAGAGGTAAATACAGAAGAGATTGAGGACAGCAAACATGCAATATCAGACACGACATCAGTGAACATAAAAAGATATCTTCGGGACCTCATAGACAAGTTCAAAAGTGAAATATTTAACCAAGTAAAGCAAAATATAAATAGATTAATAAAAGAAATTCTAAGCACCTATCAAGAAGACACAGATGGAAGAATGGAGGAACGCAAAAAAAAGGAGAGAAATGTTTGGTGAAGAATATAAAGAAAACATAGGATACATGAAGCAGGTTCAAAGAGATTACCAGGAAATAAAAACTCTATTGAAAGCTGGCAAAACTGCTTGAAAGAAACTAAGGATAGGTTATCCAAACTGGAAGACAGGTTTGCAATGTGTGATCATGAAAGGAAAAATTTCTTAAAAATAACAAGGAAACAGGCAGTAACAATACAAAGGCTAAAAGATGACAAGAGAATCTATAACTTAAGAATAAAAAAAGTGAATGAATAAGCAGGGGTACAAACAAAGGAACTGCAAAGGCTATTCACAGAAATAATTAAGGAAAACTTCCAAAGCATAGGAAAAGTAAATGATATTCAGATATATGAAATTCAGCCACCTACAACCAAAACAGAGCTGCACCCAGGCATATAATATTCAAGATCCCAGAAATTCAATATAAGAACAGAATATTAAAAGCCATCAGAGAAAAGAAACAGATTTCCTATAAAGGAAAACCCATCAAAATCACGACAGACTTCTTGACATAGACCATCAAATCAGAAAGAGCTTGGAGTGATGTATTCCAAGCCCTGAAAGAAAATAACCTCCAGCCCAGATTTATGTACCCTGAAAAACTGTCTCTAGAAATTAATGGAGAAACAGGATGCTTCCAATACAAAGAAGAACTGGGGGAATTTGCAGCCACCAATCCAACTCTACAGAGAATACTGAAGGACATTCTAGAGAAAGAGAAAAGTACCAGGATTCCAGGAACAGTGACAGAGAGGCCTCAATCAATGGAGCAGAAAGTGGAATGAAGAAGAAAAGCAGACAACTAATAGCAGAAAAGAACACAACAGAAATGAGGCAGAGAATGTTGGCTATAATCTCTAATATAGATGGCCTTGATACACTAAAAGAGATAGAGAGAGACAGAGAGAGAGAGAGAGAGAGAGAGAGAGAGAGAGAGAGAGAGACAGGCAGAGCAGATCAGGAGGTACAGTCCACCGAGATGCTCTTTATAGGAAATATAATTAACCTGAAAAAGTATTTATGGACCAAAAATCAAATATGAGAAAACAATTCTCTATGTGACAGAGTAATAGGGGCAACTTGACCAGTATTTGTAGATAGGTTGGAAAGACAGGCTTTAATAGGTAAAGGAATACACTAGAGATCAAGTCCAGGAGGGAGAAGGTTTGGAACCACTTATGGAAATGACAGGTTTCCCCCCCCCAATCTAAAAGCTGAGGGTG